CTCCGAATGTCTAAAGCCTAATCTAGAGCCTAAAATAGGTGTCAAAAGGCTTAGACATTGTCTTAAGGTCAAATTTAATGTATATAAGTCATTTAGGAAGTTTAGGAACCAAAAAACATCAAGGAACGTCCATGACGTCCAGAAACTAGTTCAATGAGGTGCTAGTGTGCCTTAGCCTATTTGACTAAGTTTTGGGACTCGGAAAATGATGAAATTTGGTGGAAGGTTGTCAAACATGTATTAGCTTTAATTTATAGTCGAAACTTCTAGGTACGACTCCCCAAGGACAAACCAAGGGTCCTTGAGGAGAACTATTTCATTTGTGTCGAAGGCTGCCTAAGGCAGTGTCCACAAATGACTTTCCATCAACGGATCGTGGTCCAATCAACGGGGCGTCGATTGAATCCATTGATATACGCCTAGAATATTTGGAAAGGAATGGATATTAACCAGTCTCTGACCAAAACGACGGGCCAACCAAACAGAGGGTCGTGTGGTCATCGATTGACAAACGGGCCGTCTGTCGAGATCTCGTTTGTGAAGATTGTTTTGCTACACATTTTAAAGGTAAGTTAATTTATATAATAAGGTGGTTATTTAATTATTTAGGGGTTAAAGGAGGTCTAATTAAGTTGGTTAATGACCTATATAAATATCTTAACCTAATTAAACTAACCTAAGCCCTCATAATTCCCAAACCCAAATTAGCTCGTCCTTCTCTCTCCCAAATTGAAGAACACCATATAAGGTCAAATTCAAGGAGGTTCTAGGTATGTAAAACTCAAAGTTTCTCCATCAATATTCATCAAATATCAAGGTATGGGATTCCTTTCACCTTTGGGACTTCTTTCCCCAAAGGGTTCCATCAAATTGATTTCAAAATATGAGTTATCGCGTGGGTCTCTTTCAATCTCAAAATCGATCTTGTGAATTAATTTGTTTTATGATTTCTTTTAGATATTATGAATAGATTAACATGTATTATAACTCAATTATATTATTTCTTGTTGGATTGGTCTAGCTTGTAGAAGATGACCTATTTCCCTTAACCCTAGGTTGTGATCTTGAATTGAAGTATCTAGTATTGATGTAATTGGATAGGTTAATGTGTGAATTACTATCGTATGATGTTATTGTGACAATTTATGAATATATTGAGATGAATTGTAGTCCTGCCATGCTATTTCTTGAGTAATTGACTTCGATGGTGAAGTAGACTATGAACTTGATCTAAGTCTCTAATTCTAGGCTATGAACTAGTGAGGGATTGTTGTATAATGATTCAATTGATCTTGTTATTATGTTGGTCAATATCATATGATGCTATTCTACCCTTTTTAGATTAAGTTGAAGGTTGATGGTTAGACCTTGATGATGGCATTATGAAGGATATTGAGTAAGTCTTGTGATCTCTCTTCTTTACTTCGGTTATGGTTATTTGTGTTTAAGTAATGATGTTGTATTGAAGTAGACCTTATATTAAGATTGATAGGGTTGGTATGATGTTGAATTTAAATGTCTTAAACTATGGATTGTGAGTTGTTGTCTAAGATGTAAATGTCATAAGGATGGTGATAACTTACAAATGTGCCTTATTATGATGTGACTATGTAAATGTGCTAACCTCACTTATATAAATTGTAATGCAAGGACAATACTCATGTAATTATTATTGATCTATGACGACAATAATTATACAAGGGATAGATCCTATGACTTACATTAAGCTATGATGATTAATAAAGACATTAAAGACATATCAAAAGGGACTCTAGCTTAGCACCGAGTGAACTAATGTGAGGAGTGTCTCTTCCCACATAGGGAAGGTAGGATCACTAATTTACTCATGAGATTGGAGACTACAATGCATGGAGCATAAAGAGGGTCCAAACTATATCTCCTAGTTCTTGAACTATGTTGCACCCATAGGAATACTAGACAGTGGATCCACGTAGTTGCTATGTGGTACTACCTTGGCAAGTAGTTCGCCTTCCTTTGGTGTATGGTTCCATGACACCGGATTCCACATTATCTCATGTGGTCTATGTCGATTAAGGCATGATGTTCCCAAAAAGGTAAAATGAACTAAAGGAATGAACTCTAACTAGGATGACCTAAGGGGTTTAGCTTAGTCTAGGTAGGGGTATGAGGCTCTACCTAAACATTGCACTAGTTAGACTTGAGGGAAGTCTTAGGAGGATGTTCTTATATATATGTATATGCTTATAATGGCACATGATATGTATATGATGATCTTACATATCGACGAGACTAGATGTTGATTGGTTTCACTTATGAATATGTGTTAGGTCTTTATTGCTAAAGTATGATGATATGCACTATTAATGATATGTTATGTGAAGTCGGACATTGGTCATGGTTCTTGTTGTGTTTACCTGATTGACTAAGGTTATGGGGTTTGCTTAGTCATTGCACTAGTTGACTTAATGAGGGTTCATGGGTAATGGTTTTGTTTGGTTATGTTGTGATTAACTCTTATCCATGCTTGTGATGTTATTGCTTGATAATAGGATTATCATGACTATGTGTTTCAATTTATGTGGATATGTATTTTGTCTTGACTAGACTTAGTATTGTTGGTCTTCTGATGTACATGCTTTTGACTTAATGAATATGTCTTATTGATTGGTGTGGTCTTCTTGAATGTGCATAAGGCTTTTCGAAGTAAATTGCATACTTTAATGAAATGTTCCTTTTTTGCATGATTTTGTGATAAGTGTGCATATGGTCTCATACTTAGTACAAGTGTTGTACTGACCTCATTTTCTCCCTTTCTCCCCAACATTTTAGGTTTCGGTCGTTGAAGGGCTTTTGAGACAACTTTGAAGGAAGACTTGGAATTTTCACTCATTCAAGTTGGGTAGGTCCTCACTTTCCGAGAGCAATGTCACTATCAAGCTTTTGATGTTGTTCTAGTTATAAGACTTCTAGTTCTTTCCTTTTTATTTGAGTACTAAACATTGTATAGCCTATATGTGGATTTATTATGTTGATGTATGGGATATGCCCAATTGATATACTCTTATTTTAGATGGTTATGAGATGAGACATCCGGTTTTAAGACTATGTTATATCTTATATATCTATGTGCAATAAAAGTAGAAGAATAAGTAATCTTCCTATACGAAGGGTCTATGAATACTCGATATGGCTATATTATGTGTATGCGAGAGGTCTATGTAAACCTCAACATACATATTGAAAAGTTTTAATTATCCGCATTTTGACCTATGAATGTAATGATGTAAGTTAAGAGGCAAGTCTTAGTCCTCAAAGAGAACGACGATGCATTTACGTTTAGGGGGTGCTCACTCGATGTGACAGATATGCTAAGGGCTTGTATGAGACCCCTTCAGTGTAAAGTACGTCATGTCACTTCTAGGGGGTAGCTCCGAGTCGTGACTTCTTGTGGTTTCAATTTCCACAATCTACGGAAATTAGAGTATGATCAAAATTGGCTCTCGGTAGAATTCTTTGTCTTATGTCTTTGAAAGCTTCATTAGTATCATTGTGGAAGATAATATGTCAAGCCTAGCCACGGTATAGTGATTTATTTCCTTGAACCACGTGAATTTTCCTCTATTCAAGTGAGGATCATGTAGCCCCCTATCCTCAAGATATTCAAAGAAATCTCCATTATATTAGTGATTCTTAAACAATTTCTCCTTTCTACCATGTCTGATAGTTTTGAAGTACCCACATGCTACCCAAAGACCTTCTATTAATCCTTTAGCAGCTAATATCTCTTCCCAACAATTATTTTGTCCACTTCGATGTGAGGAGCATACACTTTAGTGAGGTACCGATTGAAAGATTCTTGTACAACTTCAAACTTGTAGGATATTGAATGTGTCTTCTTGATAACAAACTCCCCCTCTCCATACTCTACTATCCCACAAAATCACAATTGCTCCACAAGCTCGTTGTGCTTCTAAGTATCCACACTTTAACCATTTGCAATCCCACAATCGCTTAGCCATCAACTCTATTTCGTTCTCCAATTTTGTCTCTTGAAAGTAATAAATATCAAATTTCCACTTTAACATCCAGCTCTTAACCTGATTCCTTTTATTTTACCTGTTAAGACCCTCACATTCCATGACACTAACTTTATTTTCATTTTTAAGTTAGGCTTAGATTTCTCCCCCTACTCTTAACCCCTTCCACTTCCTCATTGAGTTTTTACCCTAAGTTTTTCAATTCATTTTCCCAATCCCCTTGCTTCTAAGAGTTTTTAGTTATTGCTTCCCTCAAAATTTTCCATATGACTTCTTCCTTTACCCACTTTGACTAGTAAACCAAAAGCTTATTTTTCTCATCCTACCATATATATTTCTTAATTCCAACACGCGGATTTTTTACCCAATTGTAAGCCTCTCTTTTAGCCTCCGGTGATTCCTGAATTTGTATGTCAACTGGAGTAGGATCCTGCACCTGCATCAATTGCATATTTGTCTCCAGTCTCTGTTATATTCCCCTTGTTTGTCTCTCCTTTAACACTAGTCATATTGTTTGTGTCTTTCTCCTGTCCTTCATACCCACCTCTTTTTCCATTCTCCCTTTGAGATGAAGAAGAAGAGAACAAAATTTTCTTCTCTGTTTCTGATTCACCATGCTCTCCAGAAATCTCATGGTAGTTTATTTCAAGTTTGAGAAATAACACAACTATTATGTTTCAATAGATAAGTGTGTGAGGTAGTTGTTTTCATCTCAACAGACTTTTTACTCCTATTTATGATCTTGTTCTACTTTAATGAGAACATCATTTGAGACTTGTAATTTTCTTTTAAATCTATTTTAATATATTAGAGACACGTACACATAACAATCAGATTTAGGATATTTTGTTAAGTCGACCTAGTTATGTGCACGGATGATATTTTGAGATCAATCTGTCTCACTTTTGCATTTTAGTAATATTTGAATTTTAGATTGAATTGAATAAAACGAGTGTCTATTTTTGGACAAGTGTGTGGCTAATGAGTTGGGTGTCATAACAAAAACTTCATTTTGAGGCCCAATTGAAGTGGAGCCCAAAACCCTAAAAGAGTTTGGTTTCGCACCACGTGCTGTGTCACGCCATACCGACCTCTGACCCTTGGTACATCTGCGGGTTGTTTGCTTGCTTGCATGAACTAACCTTTCTTCTCCGGTGGAGGTGGATGTTCTTGCCTGCGATTCCACCCAGATCTGAAGGGTAAAGAATATGCCCATAGTTATTTATATTTAGAAATCCATATTAAACTGCATTGAAATGGTGGTGATTTTCTTGTTTGTTAATACATAGCTTTAACCTGTAGATTCTTTGCTACCTACCATGTTTTGGTAAATATTTATTTATTTTTTAATTGTCAAAGGATGTTAATAGTCGTGTACTGGTTCTGGTTATTTATTACTAATAAATAGACTACTCTGATATTTTTTCACTAATATAATTGATATCAGATCTTACCATCAAACGAAGAAAGATATAAATAGATATGCAGGATCAGGATGTGGATGTGGATGTGGCTGATGCAGCAAAAGAAACGTTTACATCTTCTGAAACTGATGACTGGAAAAAATACAAGGATGATGATATTATGCAACAGCACTCTGCCATACAAGCTGAACAAGCTGTAAAAGTTCCATTTCTTGGTGATAAGGCAAGGCTAACTTATTTGATTCTCATGTACTAATTTTTTGATTTAGAAACCTTCTATCTGCTCAACATGTTAGTGTTCCATAATCAAATTGGCCTGATTCCTCCTGTTTTTAGGTCCATAGGGAATGAGTTAACTTTGTTTTCGCTGGTTGTTTTTGTGCATATTGTTAACAGTCTTGAAGGAATTTCTTCTTCTTTAATCTTTAGATTAGTTAATTATTTATCTCAACAGAAATATTTTTGGCATAAATTATTCTGATTATACTTCTACCTGATGCTCCAAACTGTTCTAATTCAATTAGTTTTCTTGTGTTCTGGAAACTGAAAAATAGGCATAACTTATCCTGTGTACAACATATTCATGGACTCATATTTTGCTTGATTTTCTCAAGATTCGCCTGTGAACTGCAATTTATCGGTAGTTTGATGACCAATAATAGAAGGTGAAGGATCTAGAAGGTTGGCTGTTGAGTAGCTTTTGCTCTTCTTTTATCCTAGTGGAAATTTTTATGCTCGTAATATTTTGCGTATTCCTTACAATTACTTGTTAATCTGATGATTCTCCCACATCATATTGTGCCAGAATGGTATTTCCTATTGACTCATGCCATTATATGTAGTATTCTTGTGTAATCAAGAGGTGTAGCCACAATCTTAGTTGCGCGGACTCTTCACTTTTGATGCCGCACCCGTCTAGGGTTCTTCAAAAATACACTACTTTTGGCGAATCCGACACGCACCCGTTGGCATTTTTGAAGAGTCCGAGCAACATAGGCCACAATAGCATCAGTCTTTCTATCTGTTGGTTGCCTCTGCACTTTTTTAAAAGTATGTACGTGCATAGTTGAAGTTTTCACCTGATTTCACCATTCTCACTTGACCTGACTGACTGTGTTACCAGCAAGGATTTGCATCCTGTGAACCCTCTCGCGGACTAGCTTTAGGACATTCTTCATCTTTCTGCCTTGCTGGTATATCATTCCGTGGTTTCTCCGTGGTTTACCATTTCTTCTGCGTTTTATGTAGTGCTTGTGATATATCTTTTAAACTTATGGGGATTGTTCAAGATCCTTATAGAAAATATTGTGAAGAATTAAAGATACAAAAATTCGTGCAAGATACTTGAACTTCAGTAAATACATTGATTAATTAGAGTATTTTGTCCGAGATGATCTGCAGGAACCTTTGTCCTCATTAGAAGCTGAATACCATCTGGGAAATTCAATTGTGCTTGAGAAAATAAAGGTTTGAACATTATATTTTTGTTTTTTTGGTGATTATTCTGCATTTCTCAGTGATTGATGTAACTACTTCTGCAGGTGCTGAGTGAACAGTATGCTGCCATTAGAAGAACACGTGGAGATGGGAACTGCTTTTTCCGCAGTTTCATGTTTGGTTACCTTGTATGCTTATTTTCTTATTCTTCATGTTATTTGTAACACATATGTGACTCTCTAGCATGGACTTTGATTTTTGCATCTTTAGTTACTAATGGATCATGTATTTCAACTAAAGGAGCACATTCTGGAATCACAAGATCACAATGAAGTTCAACACATTAAATCTAATATTGAGGAATGCAAGAAGACACTTCAAAGTTTGGGCTATGCAGAATTCACCTTTGAAGACTTTTTTGCAGTAAATTTTCTTTCTATCTTATTATTTGCAATTACTTTCTTTCATGTTTGGTGACTTTTCATAGAACTGTCATTTCTTGATGCATTGAACTTAGGAGTTCTCAATCTATGTTTCTGGTGTGCCCAGTATGTTTAATTGTGTCTAAGTTTTAAATGATGTACCATCAACTGAACATGAAATGTTTAACTTGTTGGTTTAAAGAATTCTTCACTGACCAAGCTTAACATGTACTGCAATGTTAGTTAAGGGCTGCTCTCTAATGATGAATTTTTAATTGATACTGTTTAATGCACTTTAATATAATAAAATGAGTTGTCGATTGTGTTGATTTCTTTTTGAGAATGTAACAGTTAGTCTATATTTATCCACAGTTATACTACCTCAAAAGTGTAGTTCCCCTCCAGAAGTGTAGTAATTACATAGGATCCTATACCTACCAAGTTACAGCCAATCTATAGTTGTGCTGATTACTACTGAGCTATCTAGGACTACTTGTTTACACAAAAAATAATACAGAGCTAAACAATTAAGCTTAAATCTTTGTATGTTGCTCTGCTTTACTTCATGACATCTCTGGTTTCTCTCAAGCCATACTGTCCACCATATACATGATGGGACAATCTTCCATCTCTCCTCCTTTCTTCCTGCATTTCCATCCCTTTGCCAGCACTTCAAAACTTCTTTGTTCCTTCCTAATTTCACCCATTTAATCTCTCTCATGTTGGTGAACATTTGCTACAGCTGGGTTGTCCACGTGCTGTGTAAGAAGAGATGGTTGACTATAGCTCTTCACACAAAAAGCACCTGGAACACAGGTGAAAGCCTCTGTTGTTCAGGTTCTCATGTGTCAAAACTGCCTCCTTAGCTAACAGCCAAGTAAAACAGTTTACTTTATCAGGTATCTTGGTTTTCCATATCATCTTCCAAGGCCATTCTACTTCCTCAATGCCAACTGTGTTGAGATCTTCATATGCTGAATTTAATGTGAAACACCCTTTGCTCCCCCATTCCATACCAGTGAGTCCTCTTCCTTAGTCAGGTTGCTAAATTGTGCTAGGGTAACCAAAAATTCTGTTATTCTGCACATCTCCCAATCATTAAGTTCCTCCTGAAGTGCAAATTCCACCCCTGATCATTCCATAATTTGGCTGCAGTTGCTTGTTGCATTTGACATAGGTTGTAGAGGTCATGAAACCTTTGGCTTAATGTGGCCTGTCCACACCATTTGTACATCCAGAAAGCCACCTTTCTGCCATTTTCCCTCCTTACAATATGATCTTTCTAGCACCAAATCCCATTGCTCACCTTTGTTGTCAACCACTGACCCCTCATACCATATTTTGCAGCAATCACTTCCTTCCACAATGAGTTCTCAGCAGATGCGACATAACCACTTCATCATAAGGTTTTGGTTCTGAAACTTCATGTTTCTGATGCCCACACCCGCTATCTTCTTGCTTATGTTCATTTCTTCCCATTTGACAAGATGATACTTTCTCTTATCTTCAATTCCTTGCCAAAAGAAAGTTCTTCTAAGTAACTCTATTCTGTTGATTACACCAGTTGGTGCTGGGAAAACAGACATCATTTATGTTGGTAAGGCATCCAACACATTGTTGATCATAGTAAGGCTTCCACCGGGATAAGTATTGGCTTTTCCAGTTTGCTGATTTTCTCTCACACTTTTCTACCACTCCGCTCCAAATGCTAATTGACTTACTTTTTGCACCTAATGTATTGACATGCCCAAGTAGATGGTGGGTAGCTCCCCTATCTGGCCCCATAGTGTATTGGCTAGCTCCTCAATTTGTGCCACTTCATTAATTGGATAGATGTAGCTTGCCCCCCAGTTTATATGAAGGCCTGACACAGCTTCAAAAATAATGAAAATGATCCTCAAAATCAGAAAATGGTCCCTCACTGCTTCACAATACTGTAGGTGAGTGATTTCTAGGTGGTTACTTGCCCTGTTTTGCTCTTGGAACCCTCTGATCCAGTCTTTGGCCTTTGTTGTGTTGATCAGGCTACTCATCCCCTCCATTGCTAGAATGAACAAGAAAGGTGAGAGCGGATCTACCTGCCTCAACCCCCTTTAAGAAGAGAAAAAACCAGTGGGGCTTCTATTGATCATAACTGAAAATTTGACTGTACCTATACAATATTTGATCCACCTGATCCATTAAGATCCAAAACCCATCTTTGGTAACATGTTCACTAGATAATTCCAATTCACATGATGATATGCTTTCTGGATGTCCAACTTACATAGCATGCCTGGTTGTTTGCTCTTCACTCTCGAATCCAACACTAGTTCATTTTCTATCACCGCTGCATCCATGATCAAATGGCCTTCCTTTAATAAAGGTGATTTGTTGTCTGTCGACAATTCTTTGAAGTACTATTTTCAATTTTTTTTTGCCAATAGTTTTGAGATGATCTTGTATACTCGCCCCACCAGACTGATGGGTCTGAAGTCATTCAATTCAATTGCCCCACCTTCTTTAAAATAAGTGCAACAAAAGTGGCATTGAAGTTCCTTTCTCTAGCGTGGAAACTCTGAATAGCTGCCACCAACTCATGTCTGATTATGTCCCAACACTGACTGAAGAAAGCCCACTGTATAGCCATCTGGTCCATGGGACTTTATCTCCTGCACATGCTTTGATACTTTCTAGTATTTCCTCAGCTTCCAAAGGAGCCTCCAAAAAGTTGCCATCAATTTCATCAATTTTGGGCAATTTCTCTTGTCTAACTGTGGCCTCCACTCTTCTGATTCTGTATACAGCCTCTTATAGTATTCAACAATTTCTTTCCTAGTTTCTTCACGTTCTACAATCTCCACACCATCACCTCACCTCTTCAGGTAGAGACCAATAAGGAAGAAAGAATGATTCTCCCAAGTTGGAGAAACAGTACCACAGGGGAAATGAAGTTGAAGAAAGAATTCATGAGAAAACTGTTGAGCATTTAGATAGACCTGGTTTGATAACTCACTCTAGGAGAAATAGAGTAGATGAAGCCTTTATGTAATCTGTTGAAACTAAATTCTCTTCTATTGGTGAGTCTACGTTTGCTAATGAGTAGATTTGCTATTGCTTATAGTAAACGAGTAAGATCTTGTACCAAACATCTTTTATCTAATTTTTTCTTCTATAATTCCCTCTCTACCTCATATAGAGTCTTTTTTTGCCTGTATCTTTTGTGTCTACTCCTCAGAATTGTAGGAAAACCAAGTTGTTTTGATTGAAGAAGTGAAGATCTTGTCAAAAAATGAGACTTAAGAACTTGTCACTTCACCAATGGACAAAAGTTGGTTGGCTGCACATGGGTCTTCACTCTGAAGCATAAAGTTGGTGGCTCGATTCAAAGATTTAAAGCAAGATTAGTAGCTAAAGGATTCACTCAAATTTTGTGGAGTTAATTATCGGATAACATTTGCTTGATTGCTAAGATGAACACTGTCAAAATTCTTATTTATTATGCAATTAATCTTGATTGGGACAAAGTGCAGCTACATGTGAACAATCTTTTTCCAAAGCGATTATCTCTTCTGGTTACCAACAAAGCAAAGTCGATCACACCCTCTTCATAACACATCAAAAGGGTAAACTCACCCTTCTCATTGTTTATGTTGATGACAGAAGAATGATAGGGGATGACCTGATTGAAGAAGTTGAGATTAATGATCTAGGTAGTTGCAGTATTTCATGCGGATTTAGGTTGTTGCTATAACAAAAATATGAATAGAAGGAAGTATATTCTAGATTTTATTGGAAGGAATTGGTACGCTAAGGTGCATGTCAATATAATCGCTTAATTGAAAACAATTACAAGTTACAAACATGGGTTGTGGAGGGTCAATGATAAGGAGAGATATCAGAGGTTGGTTGGAAGACTCGTTTATCTCGATTGTTAGACAAGACATAGCCTATTTAGTCAGCTTGGTGAATTGGTTTATGCATGATCCCCTAGATCCTCATATGCAAGTTTATCTTTCACATTTTTCAGTATCTGAAGTATGCTCCAAAGAAAAGTTTGCTTTTCTCTAAACATGGTCACTTCCGGATAAAAGCTTTCACAGACGCAGATTGATGATAGAAGATTTAAATGTGGTTCTTGTACACTAGTCGGAGGAAACCTAGTTACTTGGAAAAAAAGGAAACGGAGTGTAGTTGCAAGATCAAGTGCGAAAAGCAAAATGTGGAGCTATGGCTAGGGTGTTTTGAGCTTCTTTGGCTACAAAGTTACTGGAAGAATGGAGAATGTTTGAAAAAGGGAAACTTCTCTTGTACTGCGACAACTTAGCTGCAATCAGTATAGTGTAGACTTTTGTTCAACATGACCGAACAGTAGTGAAGTTGTTCGACACTTCATCATAGAGAGTTTCTAGTGGCACCTTGATTGCTTCATGTACCGTCAGAAAAATAGCTAGCTTATGTGCTTACAAAAGGCCTCAGTAGGATTTACCATATTTTGGTTTGCAAGTTGGGCATGTATGAGTGTGGCATCTTTGCTCCAACTTGACGAGGAGTGTTGATTGTGTCAATTAATTAGCATGATTTAGGGAGACTGTTTTTCCTTTTCCCTGCATAATTATAGATATAACTTTTTTTATTGTAATCTGTTAGGGTTCACTTGTATAAATGCCCCTATTCATGGGATATGAAGGCATTGAAATACAAAGAAGTCTTTCTTCTTTCTCAAATTCTACATGAATAAAATCGGCATATTGTTTCTCATTTACATTCCGGAGGTTGGAATAACCAGTTATCTTATGATCATGAATTACCAGAAAATGTTACAAAAGCTCAAGCTCCATGAGTGTTTTCACTTATGCTATAATTTTCTTTGATAAGTGTGAGACTTGCTGACGTTAGCAAACTTTTAGTTGATACATGTGTAGATTTGGTTGTACTCCCAGTTTCACTCCATTTCGTGAGGAATGAACTTCTGATTCTCTTATATTAGTGAATTTGAACCGTATGTTCCTTTTTCTTTTGGTTCTTATCAAGTTGTTCGTGAGCGGCTAAGCTAATATTCTTTCTATTGCTTAATTTTCATCTTGATCTTTCTTGAGATGTGTTTTTACATCTTTTAGTTTCAAGTCCCTGAATCTTGAATAGTTCATTCATATATATATATATATATATACCAGGAAAATTTTGTTTGTTCTAATTTGGGCAAGGGCTTTTCAAATAATCTTCTCACTCATTCCTGCTCCAGACTTCCACACCTTTAATTAATTTTCTGACATCTTTAAACCTCTTTGCTCCAAATTTATGGCAGGGATTTGACCAATAATCACTAGCCTGTATTTTCCCTAAAGGTAGATAAATAATATGGGCCTCGGCAATCATGACGATAGAAGGGATAATTGTATTACTAATTAGTAGTATTCAGTATCTAATTTTAAAACAAAAAACAAGGGAACTGCATGCCTAGGAGTTGTAATCTTCTTGATTATCTTACATCTTTGTTTGGTGGGAAGTGAATTTAGAAGGAAAGATTTGATGCTAATGATATGTTGGACAAATACTTTTTTGTTGATGGAGCTTATATTATGTCACTTTTCTGATAACTATTAATCTTAGCATCGCTCAAGATATGTTGTATCCCTACCCTATATCTTGAGTAATGTTTGCTTGTTACTTCGTTCCTGCATTGCCTACATCAGTATCTTGCATCATTTCCTTCATTTGATAATGAAATTTGTCACCCTGAGGCTGTTTCATCTTTTTGGACTAATAGTTATTCCTCGAGCAACTCGATAGTGTTCTTCAAGGTAGCGAAGATTCCATAAGGTTCGGATTTTACATTTTTGAATTCTAATTTCCATTTAACTGGCTTATATCCTTATGCTTCCACTGGTGAACTGGAATCAGTACTCAAGGAATAGACTTGGTTTGTTTATTGCAGTCATGATGAACTCCTGTGCAGAAGTCGTGATCCATCAATTTCTGACTATGGTATGAGCGATTGGCGACCTTTGTAAATGTGGACTATAAAGTGCTTTATTCTTCTACTTGTGACCTGATGATGTGTGCTGTTTAGTTGTTATGTTCTTCAGATTTGTGACATCAGGTGAAATAAGAAAGCGGTCCGAGTTTTTCGAACCATTTATTCTAGGACTAACAAATACCTCAGTGGAGCAGGTTTGTTTTAAAAACTTTTTCGAATTTTCAGACTTATTTTTGCACCAATGAACATATGCCTAAAATTGTCTAATGTCCACTAAATAAACTAACTTGTATGAGTACTTTCTTACAACCTGTTTTGTTAAATGGTGTTCCACTGCTGTTAGAATCCAGGTCCTAAGCCATCTTGTTATTTGAAACCGCAGTTTTGCAAGTCAGCAGTGGAACCCATGGGTGAAGAGAGTGATCATGTGCAAATTACAGCCCTATCAGATGCATTGGGTGTACCGATCCGTGTTGTATATCTTGACCGAAGCTCATGTGAGAACAACAGCATCAATGTAAATCACCATGACTTTATTCCTACTAGCAGGGAGGTCGGGAATAGTGATGTTTCCAAGACCACAAATCGTCCATCTATCACCCTGCTGTATCGCCCAGGGCATTATGACATTCTGTACCCCAAGTGATATTCTTCAGCCTGCACTTGTTAGCTTTTTTTCATTTAGTTTGTGGAAACTTTGCTTATAGATATATTGATATGTATGATCAATGGGTATAGAAACTTTATTTTACCATCAATAATCTGACTTTGTCGATGAGGGCCGAACTGTAGATAAGTGGAGCTTTCTTAATCCTCTCATTACAGTGGTTTCTTAGGTGTGGATTAACTTTGAAATTTTCTTTTGTAAAACTATATAGTAGAAATATATTTTTATTTTGGTAAAGGAAATGGTAGAAAATGTCAAAATTTAGCTTGGATTCTTCTACAAATATGATAGTATATTGTTATATCTCCTCATGTACTGTCATGATATAGTAGAGACTCAAATTTGAAGCTCCACTTGTTGCTCAACACTCAATGTTTAGGAATAGCTGAAGAGGAAGAAAGAAGATTTGGTCAGTTTGATATCTTCAGTGAACCCGAAGACGACGTGATGTCTATTCAATTACAGAACATGGCTGGCTGGTCTGCCCAACTACCATATATTTTTTGATAGACCAGCCTGTTAATTGATATCTACTTGCTCATATCTTAGATTGTTTCGAATACCAATTAGAGTATGGAAAATAACTTAAATACACAACTATAAGTTTTATATTCTGTAATTTTTCCTTCTTTTTTTAAATATTACATAATTCCCTTTTTTTTAATTTTAGTAGAACTGTATAGATACATAACATTTTCTCTCCTATAATACACAATCCCCCAATATAATGCCTATTTTTTCTCCACTAAAACACTCAATCTTCTAAATCAGTTTTTGGATTTTGATTTTTTAATTTTAATTAATTTTAATTAAAATACCCAATTTTGAAATTTTGAATTTCAAAATTCAAAAAAATTGAAATTTCAAAAAACTGCACAATTTCTCTCATGTTCTTATTGTTCTTCTTACTCCATCACGTCTTCAATTCTTCTTACTCCATCATCGTCTTTCTTCTTCTTAACCCAACATCTGTTATTGGTTTCTTCTTTTTCTTATTAATCCATCATCAGTTCTTCTTTTCTTCCTTTTTTTGTTTTGGTTAATTGTTCTATTAAATCATAGTAATTGATATGTTAATTAATAGAAGGATATATGATTCCGACGATGAAAATTGAAAAGAAAATAGAAAAAAAGTCTTTGCATGATCCTATGAATCTTCAGAAGGATTCAAACAAAGACTCTGGTGAAACATCAAAATCAAAGGTTGTCAAAATACAAAAAAAAAAAGAAGCAGCAAACATTGTTGTCAGACCTACATTGTTTCGGGTTTGTATTTTTATACTTATTTTAAAATTGTTGTTGAAATTAGTAAAAATTTTTAAGGAATTCAACATGTATCAAAAAATTATGAAAATTATTATCATGTATCAGACAATAGGTTTAATACATAAGTACTAAGTGGGTAATAATGTTTAGTCTATGATTTTATACATGAATTAGATGTGTATCATATGATTTCCTATGTATCAGGGGTTTTTGAAATTTTTTATCATGTATCAGTGATTAATTTCAATAATTGTGCCATCAAGTGTGCTTGCTGATACATTTTG